GTTGTTTGTATAGCTATGTGTTTGCAGATACTGACTTTTTGTAACTGTCTTTTATGTGTACTGTACACCGCCATGAGTCGCCCGTAAGGGCTGAGAATGGCGGTTAATAAGTGCATCAAATAAATAAATATCAAAGAGCAGTCTAAATTTCTCAGGACACACACTTGACAAGCAGAAGATGTACTTTGCTGAAACTTGCACCTTGGTGAGAACCTTGCTTTGGAAAGTGCTGATCTTGTAACCTCATTGTGGACCTTGTTGTATCTTGAATCCTTGGAATCTGAATCTTCCTTGGCTCTGACTTATGGATTAGGACTTCCCTTGGACTCTGGCTTGACTTTTGGAACTCTGACTACGGTTTGTAGTCCTGAAACCATGCACACTACGCTAAGGAACTTTTGGCTCTGGACTCTTGTTTATCTGGCTCAACTCCTGGAACTCTTGACTATAGTTTGTAATCTTGCCCCCTGGAACATTATACTAAGTGAACTCTCGAGGTTTGACTCTTGGACTGCAAACCTTGGCTACTGTCTATTCTATCTCCTGAACCAGCTTTGTAGTACTCTCACTGTTAATGAGACTTTGCTTTGTAACTTCAGCTGTGTACTATCTTTGTGTTTTGAAGTCAGACTTTGAAGTGACCAAATGTTTAAGTTATTGCTTTAAGTAAAACATTTTTGACACAAGCTGGGTGTTGTTTTGACTAACCTCTGCCTGCATACTGGCAGAACTCTGGATCCTGACAGCGCATTATGTCAGAGATAGAGTTTTAAAAGGGTCTCTCTTTTTTGTTTGTACTCCCAAGTTCATCCTGCCCTTATGGCCAGCAAAAAGATACATTTCCAAACCCTGGTGGTAGTAGATGAGACAGGTATGTTGGTGCATGTGAATATACTTTTTGATCTACTCATTGTCTTGTGTAAAGTGGCATCCCCCTGTTCCAGTCCTGCTTTCAAACACAGGTCAAACTCCATTGTGCATTGGAAACAATTGGCTGAGATCACTGAGAATATTGAAGGGGGTACTGGGCACTATTACATATTTACCTTGTTGATCTGGATCCATCTTATTACATTTGGGGATACGGAGCAATGGTAGATTTCCTATAAGGAAAGGAATGTTACCATTTTCAAGTCACAGCAGAGGAGTACATGTCCAATACAACTCACAATATACAGCCAGCCCTCCATCTTTGATTAGATTAGGGGCACCAGAACCCCCCATTAAAATAAACAAACCACAAATATATATTTTTTTAATTTTGAGAGAAGACATCTCTAGGAATCTCTAGGTCCTTTGATGCAATTCTATGGTCAATGTTTGCCAGATGTTGTTTTGGAGAATCTTGAGATTCCTAGAAAGATCTTCTCCCTAGATCTCTTTGTCCTGCCACGCTACTACACTTTATTTATTTATTTATTTAGAGTTTTTATAACCCGGTCTTCTCGACCTCCGGAGAGGGACTCAGGCCGGCTAACAACAATTTCCATCAGAAGTTGACTACAGAGTCCTGTTGGAGGGCTTAGAGTAGAGGTCCTCAAACTAAGGCCTGGGGGCCAAATACGGCCCTCCAAGGTCATTTATCCTGCCCTCGCTCAGGGTCCACCTAAGTCTGAAACAACTTGAAAGCATATAACAATAACAACAATCCTATCTCATCAGCCAAAAGCAGGTCCACACTTCCCATTGAAATACTAGTAAATTTAGATTTGTTAGAATTGTTCATTTTAATTATTGTATTGCTTTTAAGTGTTTTTGCACTACAAATAAGATATGTGCAGTGTGCATAGGAATTCATTCATTTTTTCCAAATTATAATCTGGCCCTCCAACAGTTTGAGGGACTGTGACCTGGCCCTCTGTATAAAAGTTTGAGGACCCCTGGCTTAGAGACTCATAGAGCAATCATAGTAATTAAATCTGTGAATAATCAAATCCACAAAAGTCAAACCTGCACATTGTAATAAGTAAACACACAATGAAATGTCATTTCTAAGTATATGGATGCTACTTAGATCTGTTCTTTTAATAATAAGATCTTACCAAAAAGCTTTGCAAGAAAGGGATATTTTAGCCCCATGAGTTTAAAATTATATATACTGTATAAAACACTATTTACTTGATAAGTTTACATCTTTCTTCCAGGCATCTCTCAATTGCTGCACCAGTTTTAAGTTACTGGAAGTGTTTAGGTAGGAGATCAGATGTTATTCTGTACCCAGGAAACAGAAGGTGTTTAAGTATAAAACCAGGCAGTGACATTGTGATACAACTGCATTAATTAATTCTCAAGTAAAGGTTTTACCTCTATGTCCTCCCATTGACCCACACCGAAAACCAAAGTATTTACCTTCATAGTAGAATGATGTCCCAAGCAAAATTCTTCATCGTGAAATGGCTGTTTTGTTTATTGCTTCACAGTAACACAGCGAGATGCCCAAGTTCATGAACTATTGCGCCCCCATCTGGTGTCCCCTCCCCAATAAAGTGCAATCAATTAATAATCAAAAGTGTGAATAATTGAAAATGGAACAGCTTCTTTGATCTTGGCCTCTAAAGGGCACTCTGCGCAGGTTCCCCTTCTGCCTCCCCAGATGAAGACTGGGACATCTGCTTCCTGAGAAACATGATGCTACTACGGAAATAGAGAAGGACGAGGGACACAATTGTCATTAATACAGGAAGGTTACACGATCAGTCACCATGATTGTTTCAAATTAATTACCTTCATTTTTAAAATAAGAAAATAAGTCTGTGATGCAATCATAAGCACTTGTAATGTACCTTATTGAAGCTCAAATTGTTAAAGTTGTGATGCAAATCAAGCTCTAGCACAGTGGGTCTCTTTTATACATCATCTTATACTTACATGCATTGTTGAAATTAATACATGGTGTGAAGTCACATTTTCAATGAAAATGTGACTTCTATTTCTTGTGCTGGTCTATGACCGAAATAAATGATTTGATCATGTTGTGAGATATTGTGCTGTTGCGCGCTGACCTCCTATAAAATACTGTAAACAGGACTTAAATTCTGTTAGCCCAACGGGACGCCGGAGTTGCCTCAGAGAGAGGTTTTTTGGGATTTTCCTAAAAAGATGGGCTTCAAAGTCTTTAAAGATGCAACAAAATCTTTATTACTGAACAAATAACAAATCTTTAACAATTAGCTTCAAAGTTTTCTTAATAAACTATTGGCTTTCTCAATCTTGCCCCCAAGGGCAGGCAACTGTTCCTTCACTGTTGGGAAAATCCCCGACCTCTACCCTGTCTTCTCTTCTGTTGGCGTGGGGCCCCTCACCCGGTCCAATCTGCTTTATGGTTGCCGCAAGGGGCCCTTACCGAAACAGAGATCTTTGCAGAACTTCCAGGAGGAGGAAGATGTTCACTTCCCAATGATGGCTGGCTGAAGCGCTGTGGGACTGGATCCCTAGCAGGAGCTGTGAAGCTGTAAGTTCCTCAACAAACTGTAAAGTCCCCAGCAAAGGCTGTGCTGAGACTGTATATCTCTGGCCAAGCTATGTGGCCTTTTCTCCCCAGCCAAGCTATGGGGCTATTTCTCCCCGGCCAAGCTGTAAATGATGAAGCCTTTTACAGGAGGCCCTGGTTTAAGTCCTGTAAGAAAGGCTTCTCTGTGTGGGCTGAGCCAAAATGGCTTCTATTCCTTCCAAAACCCAAAAAGGGGGCGGAACTAGGGAACCTAATGATAATTGACAGGTCATTGACCTAATAACTGCAAAGTAAGGAAAGCCATCTAACTGCAAATGCATAGAACTTTAAAATACATGCAACACTCAACAAATAGCAAGATAAGCTGGAGCTCCCGGTACGGCCATACCAGAACAGATATCTAAAGCTGTGTCAATATCTATCCGTTTTGGATATGTCACTATGAGTGCATCTACACTGTAGAATGAATGCAGTTTGGCACCAAGGCTATGGATCAAGGCTATGGAATCAGGGGAACTGTTGTGATGTTGTTGTTTATTTGTTCAGTCGCTTCCAACTCTTCATGACCTCATGGACCAGCCCACGCCAGAGCTCCCTGTTGGCCGTCACCACCCCTAGCTCCTTCAAGGTCAAGCCAATCACTTCAAGGATCACATTCATCCATCTTGCCCTTGGTCGGCCCCTCTTCCTTTTTCCTTCCATTTTCCCCAGCATCATTGTCTTCTCTAAGCTTTCCTTTCTTCTCATGATGTGGCCAAAGTACTTCATCTTTGCCTCTAATATCCTTCCCTCCAGTGAGCAGTTGGGCTTTATTTCCTGAAGGATGGAGTGGTTGGACCTTCTTGCGGTCCAAGGCACTCTCAGAATTTTCCTCCAACACCAGAGTTCAAAAGCATCTTTCTTCCGTTGCTCAGCCTTCCCTATGGCCCAGCTCTCACATCCATAGGTTACTACGAGAATACCATTGCTTTGACTATGCGGATCTTGTGATTCAAGATCCTTCACATTTTCTGATGAAGAACGCTGGTGCCTCACCAAACTACAACTATCAGGATTCTCTAGCACAGAGCCATGGCAGTTAAAGTGATGTCGAATTGCATTCATTGTGCAATATAGATGCAACCAATGTTAGAAAATGTAATATTAGCTGTTTTTCAAAGCAGGACAGGCTTCCTAATCGTAGTAAGAGCTTAATTATTCAAAAGCTCATACCATTATTAAAGGTAAAGGATTTCCCTAGACATTAAGTCTAGTTGAGTCCAACTTTAGGGGATGGTGCTCATCTCAATTTCTATGCCAAAGAGCTGGCGTTATCCATAGAGGCCTCCTAGGTCAAGCTTTCCTGCCTCTTTCCTGCTCTTCTGCCTGACCAAGGGTGGACCACAGCAAACCAGGAATGGTGGAAACATCTGGAGTCTAAAGAAAGCACAGAGTTGGTTTTGGGCCAAATTTCAGAAGATGAGGCCGGTCTCGGTTCAAAATATATTCCCAGTTTCATGAAGGGCTACTATGTCATTTGTCCAAACTTTATTGGTATCCCACCACCATCTTGAGTTGCCTTCGGGCTGAGAAAGGCGGTATATAAATATGGTAAATAAATAATAAATAAATGGTAAATAAATCTCACCGAAGAGACAAAAAATACTGTTGTCGAACCAAGGGAATTATTTTGAATATTTTATTTGAGTATTATTTTTCTTAAATTTAACATTTAAGTGCTTTGAATACTTTACACCTTTTTCTAACCTGAAAAATTACTTTGAGATAGTGTGAATAGAACCAAATGACGCTAAGGTGGTTTAGCCCAAATACTGCAGCTGAGATGGATCTAGCTGACCACATCACAAATGTTTAGTGTATGCAAAGACAACTAATATGCTTAGGATTTTAAATAGTAACACATTTCATGATATACAGAAAACAAAATTGGCATTTTTTCTGCACCAAATCTGTTGTTGTTGAGTCACAGAAGCTGTTGCATCCAAGAATTCTCGCAGTCCAATGGAAATGAGCAGTGATAAATGAGCTTTGTTCGCTGTTGCTCAAATTGCTTAAAAGAAATCACCAGGAACTGCAGAATAAAAAAATAAAAACGGCATTTATTTTTCAGTTGTTCTCAAAATCTAAAATAGATTAATTGGATAACTCATTACACTATGCAGCAGGATCTTTGTTATAAATGTCATTTCCTAATTGGCACCATCAAAAAACATGGGAAAAGTTTATGAAACTGTAAAACTTTGCTTTTGCAGGGCATCCTGCGACACATTTTGCTATAGTTTCGGGTCTCAACCAGTTCAACATAACCTATGAAATCCTCAGGCGGAGCATTCTCTTATGAACAATCACCCAGTCCCTAAGAGGATCCCATAGGATGCAGCTATGACAGATAATGTGGAATTAGAGCCTTAGAATGCTGTAGCGTGAAAGCATCCCAGGAAATTGCAACAACATGGCTTCAATTGGAACAGCAGAAAGGCAAAGGAAAAGGCAACTTAATGTTAGAAGCATGGAGGTCAAAAAGGGTTGCTGGAAAAGCTTAATAAGAGATGGTAGATAGTTCAGCATTTAGTCATTTGGATAGGATTTAAGACTAAGAAGGTTCTCGGAGCAA